TTACTACAAGCCTCGCTTTGCAGACGGCCAAATTATTTTAACATTGAAAATGTATTTTTTGTCGCTTAGGTACAGGCCCGATTTTCAGCGAAAGTGCGACATCGCCCTGGTGTCGTGGATTTTAGGACTACGTGACTGATTGAGATGTTAAAAGATGCGTCTGAATGAGGACTACAAAATGCACAAAAAAAATTGAAAACACTGAAAATCTTTTTTTTAAATCGAAAAAATGTGAAAAATGCGGTCGCTTTTCGTTCGGTTTCGGTCAGAGAAAAAATCATATTTCGAAAAAAAAAGAAGACATCGAAAAAATTAAAAGATCACCGAGCAATATGACTTTAGAAAAAAAAATATTTAAAAAATTAAATTTTTATTTAAAAAAATATTGGAGATACATATAACTGATGGGTTATGCATAATAATGCGAAGAAATAAAAAAAATATAAAAATTATATGTATATAATATGTAGGTATAATTTATAACGCTCTGACCAAATTGCGGGACCTAAACGGATACATTTTTGACAGTATTTCCAATAAGATTTCCCGTTGGTCAGTGGCTAGCATAATAGCTGTAGATCCAGAGGTCCTCAGTTCGAGTCCGGGGTCACGTCAAGGGTAGGTCCAATAAAATTTTTATGTTAAGAAATTCAAAAAGGCTAGTAGCAGTCCGGATTTGAGAAGTTGCCAGCCCCGTCCCTCGGAGAGCATTTTCGATTAAGGTCCTGTACCTGATCCCCTTCCGGTCATGCCGAATTATCTTTCCCCCGGAGTTTGAGAGTGATAGGGATAGAGAGTTCACTTGTGTCGATGTACAGTGTACACTCTTGTACACTATAATCTCCAGTGCAGGGAAACAACCTTGGGAAAATAATTGGGATTGAATGGCCTATACACAAGTACGTATAACTAGGAAGAATTTAGATGTGTTTACTTGACATATATATATATGTGTATATAATAACACTTTATGCCTCAACGATGTAATGCCTGGGACTCGCCCTAGTACCTATTAAAGATATTTTATATCAATATAATCTTTACCTTGTAAAATATCTATTTGTTTTGAATTTTGCTATTAATACATTTATTTATTTAAAGAGGTTAATGTTAAAAGTGTTCAACCATTCATTGATTTTAATACTCCCCAATGTAACATCAGGAACTTTATAAATATTTTTGCTACAAAATGCAGGACTTTCGTACATTATAACAAACTGCAGATTATTTTATTAACAAACTGTTATACTTGTATGCGTCGGCGGCTTCGCTTTGGTGGCGGGTATTTAATGAAAAAGAGCATTTGTGTCAATTCCGAATATAAACAATATAGTTAAAATTCGTCGCAAATTCACTTGCACTTCATACAGTAGGTCATGAGTTCATTTCGCATAGTTGAAGTATTTTTTACCATAATGATGATTGATGAATTTATTTATTTACTATACTGAATTTGCTTGAAGTATTTTTTAATGCCGTAAAGCTGAAATAAGAGTGTGGGTTGTAGGTGAAAGTAGGTAGGAAGTTACTAAGTTATCTTTGTCTATTCCACCAGGGAAAACAGAGTGTGATAACAACTAAAAAATATTATAACCATATAATATATGTATATACCAGGACAAAACCTTTCTATGTAACTCTCCAACCTTTAACTATTTCCGTTATTTTATCCGCTTTATCCGTTACTTATTCCGTATAATTCGTTGCTGCATAAAAGAAAGGTAAATAACACACATTTGCATTTATAATACGAATAAGCATTATATTTTTGCGATATCATTTCTCATATATTTAAAATTTTCTTTGAAACGTTTCACCTGCGCTCTCTAAAATAAAAATATAATTCTCGGGAAAGTTCAAAGTTTCTGCATATATCTATAAAATTGTGCGCTTATTGATATTTTGAAATACGAAAATGAAATGAAATACTGTTTGCAATTAATCTGCTTAACGATTTACATTTACAATTAAATATAACGTATGGCTCTACCAATTTAAATAATAACTAGAATATCATCAGCTGTAACGACTTCATAATCGTTAATCAAAACAATTATCAGGACAACGTTATACATATATTTTTTTAAATAAAACAAAATAATATAATTTAAATAATATCATTCGAAAATTCCGAACGCAAGAAAATCGCTGCATCCATAAAACGAAACCCACTTCAGAACGCTACTTGAAAATTACTCGCAATTTCCCGAGCCCGTTTGAATTTTTATAGCTATGTAGAGCCAGCACCTGTGTCCGTAGGCCAAATGTCGTCGCGGTCTGCTCATCCATTCAAATTTATTCACGAGTAAGCCAAGGAAACATACAAACGATTTTGATATCCACATCCATTCGTATCTTTTGAAACTGCGATCTACAATTCTTATAAATATTGATATGAAATAACTTTAAGTAAAGCAAAAGCTATGTATGTCATTTTTACTATATTAGATAGGAAGAATTTGAACTTAATGAATTTATTTTAAACATTTAAATCATAAATTATTTAATCTAGCAGAACCCGCGGCTTCGCTCGCGCGAAAACTACAATATAATCTCTAAAAAGATAGTTTTATACAAACTTTCATCCCCTATATTACCCCCATTTTCATTCCCCTATATTACCCATAAAGCATGAATTTCGAAAAATGCTAAAACATATATTTATTTAATTTTATTGAAGAGCATTAATACGAAGTTTCAAGTAATTCTGATCATATATATTTTTTTGGATTGTATTATAACGGGGTTTTCTGTGGCAATTAGATAATCTCCCGCGGTAAAAAATACCTATGTTATTCTCCAGCCTTCTAATTGTCTCCACACAAAAAATCACGCCAATCCGTCACTCCGTCACACAAACAAACAAACAAACAAACACACTTTCACATTTATAATATTAAGTAAGGATTTACATTTATGTTTTTTTTTTGTGAAAAACTAAGGATATTATTTTCTAGAGATATGTTTTTGGATTTAAACGTGACTTATTTTATCATATAAAGATTTACAGCATATTAAATAATAGGTAGTTTGCAGCCGATCTTTGCCCAACACTCTACACCCGGCCGTCGTATCGCTTGACTTGAATCACGTCAGCCCATATGAAATATCAAAGCGAAGGATTAAGTCAAACACAAACCAAAATTGGCGAACTGTAACCTTTATAACACCATTATACATTGTGTGAGATTAAAAATTTATTATTGAATACCCACATAAATATATGTAATCTAAATTTGACTACTATTATTATACCTAAATGGGAAAGTGTATGTCTGAATGTCTGTTACTTTTTCATACTAAAATGGCTGGACAGATTTGGATAAAATTATGTACAAAGGCAAATGTTAGATAGTTAAGGACGCAACGAAGCAAAGAGAATAACGTGGTCTTATTCTTATGTAGCTATATGTCGATAAAGTAAGCGCATCACATAAAATGCCCTTACCTACCTAGAAAAATTACCATAATATAACTTTTGCCTTCTACCACATAAGAATTATTTCGATCTTGGGATATAAAAAAGTCTATGTCCGTCTTCACAATGATAACTACATGCTGGTATAGAAAAAAAAATCATATATATATATATATATATATATATATATATACATTAATTTTTATATCTTTAATATCTTTTTTTTTAATAAATATGTCGATTTTACACTAATATTAAACATAGTATGTTGTTTACAAACAAATCAAATCATATTTCCACTCATATTTTGATCATACAAAATATGCCACTATAATAATAATATTAATATATATATGTGTGTGTGTTAATATGTATATATATATATATATATATATATATATATATATATATATATATATATATGTATATGTGTGTATGTATACGTAACATATATATACGAGTACATGTATATATACGAAAACCCTTTTTATAGAAAATTTAAAAGACTAGTAAGTAGTGCATAACAACTGTGCTGTAAATATCTTTTGAGAGAAAAACACTAACTATTATTATTAATGTTGTTTGGATTCCATATGATGTACGATCATTAAACTTGTACTTTATTCGCGACGTAAATTACACTTTTAACTTCAACTGTTTTTATATTTTTACTATAATTTTGACTTAATAATATATGTATGTCTAAAAGAAATCATAGTCTCGGCTTTGTCCTTGAAATCTGCAAAGTTATTACAAGTTATTTGATTTCATTATAAACAAATTATTAAGACAGTACCTATACAATTTTCATTCCAATGTAATCTATTAAATCATAGAAATATATATACGAAGTATTAGTATTTAAATAACATCTTGTCAGATTCAATTTGAAAATTGAATATGACAAGAACAAGAAGAAATACGTATTAAAATTATATACAATATTCTAATATCTCATCTATACACATAACTAAAATTGAAGTGTCTCTTTGTAATGTCAAAATGCCAGTGTTTTACTAAATGCATATGAAATTATATACGGTACTTATAAGAAAAACACATTTTTTTTATTTTTGTCTGTCTGTTTGTTCCGGATAATCTCTGTAATGGTTAAACTGATTTTGACGAGACATTCACTGGAAGATAGCTGATGTTATAGGGAGTAGCATAGGCAACTTTTAATTTAGAATTTAATTTAGATTTAGGGTTCTCCTCAAAAAAATTAAAACGCATCTAGGGACGAACCCGAGCGAAGTGAAGGTGAATCGCTAGTGATTTTATATCGCTAGACTGAATTCACATCAGATTAAGGCTATAGCGAGCACCGAAAGCAATTTAATTTCATTATATAAAACGGAACGTATTTATGAAGCTGCAAAATATTGCATTTACTTGATAGTTAAAAGATTTTATTTTTATAACAAAAATATTAAAAATATTATTACAAATATGTTTCTTTAAGAGGTAAACTCTTTCGTTTTTGCAGCCTAAAACTTAGAATGTTCTTCGTAGTTCCACAAATTGTTGTAGATGAGCATTCGACATTAAATAAACAATAAAAACTGCAGTCACCAGTGCAACAATGTGTATTATTATCCCACACCTTACAGTAATTTACCGCCATAACAGAGCCCCATTGAAAAACATAATCGTACGAGTGCAAGACACCATATGGCCGCTGTGGCCGTCAACCATGTCCAAAGACATAAATGGGCAAGTTATCGTCACAGATGGAATGCTATTGCGTTGGGGCAGCCTTGCCGGTGGAGGGGGACCTCCCGCGCAACCTGCGCCTCGTCCCTCGCACATAGTGCCTCGCCCGCGCAGCCGTGCGATTACACGCGCGTACGTCGATTATTATAAAAACTTTATCGATTCCAATATAAACAATAGTTATAATGAGTTTCAGTGACATAACAAATCTAGTGATATTATATTAGAATAAGGTAAATACTGATAACGTTTACAATAATTGCGCAGAAACGTATAATCGGCAAGGGCATTTACGAGTACGACTCGGTGCATGCAGTTTAGCAATAAGTTATTAGTAATGTGTATATATATATATATATTAAATTTCTTGGAAAATATACTGATGTGTTTAGCAGGTGTTAACATTATGAATGGATAATATGTAAGTACGAGTATAAGCGACCGGCCGCGCGCATTCCTTCGTTGCATAACAAAACCAAAATAGAGCAGTGTGTCAATACAGCCTTTGTAGCGTTGAAAGCCTTTTCGAGTAATAAGGGTGACAAAGATTGTAAAGTGTTGAGTTAATGACATCATCCTGTTATATGTTCGCACTCCGCCCACTACGGGTACACGTGTCTTAAGGTTACACGAATTGCGTGAAAATAATTTTAAATATAATATCGTGTATGTAGTAAGTAGATAACACGATAATGGTTTTTTAAATGATATTTATTTCTAATATGAGTACTATATATAGTTCTTGGGTAGATATTACAATTAACACTTTTAGTTAGAATTTGTTATTTAGTTGGCTCTACTACGACGTTAACCGTTGATAACGAGTTTAATAACTTTATAAGTTATGTCAACTAGTTATGATCTCGTTATACTCATGTAAATGTATTACACAATTTTTCAAATTAAAAACACGATAAAAAAAATCAAAAATACATGTTTTTACATCAAAGTTAACAATTTAATGATATGCTATGCTACATACAATTATTATCACACAGAGATTATGCCGCATAGTGATGTTTTGTTTATGACGTCATGTCCGGCTATAATAGTCAGCAGCTCTAGATCTCTAAGTTAATTGCTTAATAACTTCTCATAGTACTTTTCATTTATTAATATACACAAGAATATGGAATAAATATACTTCTACTTTGTCTACGTCCCTTTTGAAACTTTAGATATATTTTGATATTAGTGACTCACCCTCGCTTCGCTCGGGCTCGTCCCTAGCTTGCTTCCCAATATAAACTTTCGTCCCTATTTTCACCCCCTTAAGAATGATTTCCGAATTTCCGAGATTAAAAGTACCCTATATCCTTCCCATGGTCTCAAACTATCTTCTTACCAAATTTCATCTAAATTGGTTCCGTAGATTACTCCCTACGGCCTCGCAAACTCAAAAAATTTACCTCTTTATAATATTAGTATAGAATAAGAAATAGCTTTTAATTTTTAATAAAGTTTGTTTTTATGTACTTACCTAAGTTAAAAAGATTGACTCTATCTCTTGGAGGGTATAAAAAAGGGCAGTGAACTTGCTTCCTCTTTCTGATTTTAATAGTATTTTCTTGATGACATTCATTCGTAATCGAACGCGTGACTTCGGGCGTAATAGGCAGAAGATGTCAGACATGAACACCACTACGTCAAGTCAGTGTACACAGATGACATAATTGTATACTGCCTGCCGATTTTGATGACTAAGATTTTGTTCTGTTGGTTTTTTTGATAAATATTGTTTTCCAGACAAATTTTCTAATACCTACTTTTCCTTAATATTGAAGATCATTAATACTAAGTTTCAAGTTAACTGGACAAAAAAATAATATATTCTACGAGTATATGCTCTGCTGCCTTTTCACACATTTAAAGGTTTAAGTTTAAGAAATTATTTCTTTGTCATTATCCATGATCGTTCACATTTTTATCATTTCTTTAATAATTACGAATTAATTAATAAAAATTAGCTTTTATTTTTAATTCGTTCGTGTATTTGATCTGTAAATATTGTGAAAATGCCTTAAGCATAATTAATTTTTCATTTCATTTCTCTGTTTATATGTATACTACACTCAAAGTTATATTACAAATTCTTTACCGTTCATATTATAATTATATTCTATTTAAGTAAATAAAAACATTTGTTATAATTATATGAAAGTAGGCAGTCTATGAATATAGAGATCTTTCTACATCGACGGTTTCGCACATTATTGGAGGCAACGGAGCACGAAGCACGTCGCTGCGGACCCTCGTTAAAAATAAAATTATACAATAAATTAAGCAGCAATTCTCCATAACTCATTTTCTTATTAATTCTAACCGTGTACTTTATGATCTATAACACGGTATAATTGAATTCGCTTTCGTAAACTCTGAATACTTAGAGCTGCAAGTGAAACATTATAAAAGTTCGCAATTTCACAGAAAATCCTTTGCCTTTGTGAAACCATTATAATATAATATTGCAAAATAAAAAACTTTCCATGCAATATTTTTTTTTCCTAAAACTAGTTACCTTATGAGAACTTTGTTTACGTTTTTGTTTTAAGCTCCGTTCATATTAAAATAAAGTAGATGCTTAGGATGTTTTTCAATATGTAGTTATGATATACAATTCATTATGAGTATAAAACGATTGATTTTGAGGTTCATAAAAAATGTTGTTGTTTAATCTCTATGTTTAATATGTTTGAATATATAAACAAAGTCGGGTTTGTTACAATACTTATAACTCGAGAACTTCTAGACCAATTTTTATGATCTTTGTATTGTTGGATTCGTCTCCACATCGCATTAGAATCATAGCAGAAGAATCAATGTCTATTAAAACCTCGGAAAAATTCACGAATAAAAAAAATTTAAAAAATTCTATTCCATACTAAGCGTCAAAACGTGCCTAGTAGGATGAGTCGCTGCTAGTAATAATAATAAAATTGCAATTTGTATTGGATTACGGTCCCTGTTGTTTCTACTAAGAGTTTAAAAATACATAATAATATGTAAATATTTCTTTGTTGCAATGACATTTCCATCGTTAATGATACATTAACATGCAAATAAACAAAAGACGTACATCGCATGCGTGTGAGTCAAATATCGACATGCAATGCATGCACCAAGATCATTTCCTTCCTTGTAGGATTTACTATGATACTTTTACTATTATTTATTTATACGAAATATTAACAAAAGTAAACAAGCTTTTACAACTAATCAGTAAAATAAAGACATTAAAGAAACTGATAAATATTATGAAAAAGTATTTTGCGAAAAAAATGATTGTTTTAACAAACGAAGTGTAGAGTTAATCTAGAGATTAGCTAACGAAGCGGTAAATAAAATCAAGATCTCACTTACTGTTGTGTTAATGTCTCAATATTTACATAAAACGTATGGAATGAGGTGGTTACACATAGCAATGCTAATAGATTTTTGTCATATTCGCCCGTCTACTTCGATTAGATTTCAGAATATAATCTCAGTTTTATATTAAAATAACAGTAGATTGTTTATAGGCACAAGTTTTACATTTTGTAATGGGACTACTATTATAAATGCAAAATTTGTATGTGTGTATGTCTGTTATTCCTCCATATGGAAACGGCTCAACGGATTTGGATGAAATTTGGTACAAGATATGACTTATTTGGCACCTCGCGAAGCACCAAGAAAAGTTATCCACTTGTTGTTCACGTCATGGTTCACGATTAAACAATTAACGATGTTTTAAACTTAATAAGTATAAATTTACATAGGAAGTTATTTCAAAATTTTGCAACCACACAGTATTCTTATTTAGCTTAGAAAGACCTAATAACAACAAGTGCTTTTAGAAGATTGTTTCGCAGGCGGCACTGTGGCTTAATTTTTCAATAATACACGAATGCAGACTTAAAGCTTCGTGCCCGGAATATCTCTCAACTTGACCAATGTGGGCTTACAACAGGTTTTGGGAAACTTGTAAGCAATACACATCAAGGGTCAGATTGACGTAGCTGGAAAAAGAACAATAACATGATTCTCCTTAAGAGAGATAACGCATGGATATTTTGAGAGCAAATCCAAATACACTTATTTCGTAATGCGAATTCACACGGCCATTTATATGATTGTACATTATAAAATTTAATGTTATTTTATTTAATTATACTTATTAAATGATGCTAATTTTCGTCATATTAATGGCACAAATAAATAGCAGATTTCAGTTTATGTTTTTGCACAATAAATTTGCACTCTTCTCGTATAATCATATTATTTGATTAAAATTACAGTTCGTTGCAATACATAAAAATCTGTCAAGATTCTCGTAGGTTAATTGCAACATTTAAAGCCCTTTAAAGCCATCTTTTTGATCTAATTAAAAAAAGGTACACAATTATAAAAAAAAATGTTTTAACGAGAAGAAAATCACCTGTTTATTTGTGTGAAATACGATATCTTCGGTTTTTAATAAATTAAAAATACTTTTGTTGAATTAACGATTTTACAGTTGGCGTATAATTTCAATATAAAAGATTTTTTTGATTTTTGTGTTACCTCAAGTTTATTATCGTTGACTCAATATATTTATGTAAATATAAATTATGTGAAAACATAAACAAATGATATTATATGTTCAAATTTTGTATAAATTGGTCATAAATGTCTACTTTTTACCAATGTTGAGAAAATTCTTATTAGGTAAAATTAATAAGAAATTAAGTTTTGTTCAAACACCTGAATAATTTTTTCTTAGTCAAAAAATCCTTTTGCATCACGCGGAAATGGAATGCGTGATCATATGCCACAGCATTGCTCTTGCTCTCTTTTGCACTGAGTAAATCAGGTTTTAAATTAAAAACTAATTGACCTCTCCTTCGTTTATACAATAGAAACATTGCTACGCTAAATGCAAAGCATGATTCTTTGTGTGAATATAAAATGGACTTTAAATTTTTCTTGCAAGTACAAAATCACAACAGATATTTTTTTTTAAGTAGATAAGTTTAATTAGACAGATATTTTTTTTTAAGTAGATAAGTTACTTGAATGTTAATATCAATGATTCAGCGCTGCTCTTATATCTTCTAAATAATTTCCCCATACTGAAAACATGGTGATTTGAATGAGACCAAAACTCAAAACGTCTTTAAAATAATTGTCAACATTGTCAACCTGCAATTTTTTGGAACAAATACACGATTTAAACAGGACTTTCTGACATTTAATAAATTCAGATTAGAGTGAC